GGACTGGGTTTTAGCTCAAACCCAGGACATCGTTAGAAATTAAAATTATTTCTGTGTGAGAACTTCTAGATAAATTTTAAATTGATATCTTTTAATTATGGTGGCTTTTCTATTGGTGTGATAAATCCATTGTGTTTTTCAGAGTAGCCGTAAAGCTCGTGAAGTAATGCAGCTTAATCAGCCCCCCAAAAACTGTAGAGAAGCTTTCACTGCTGAGGGGGATCAAGTATTTGAGAGACGGTATTATTCTTCTGATTACCACAGACCCAACTTCCTCAGCAAAGATGTCGAAGCAGAAGTAAGGTTAGCATCTTGTAATGCTGGATTTGTAAAAAGTGCACTTGTTGACATGAATAGTGGAGTTGCCTTTTTGTCTGTTTGCATGTACCCTACTCTGCACTCTCTATTTTCTGTCTCAGGTGGATGCTTCCTTTTTTCTGATAATTCTGGAAAACCTTTATTTCAATGCCTTTCTGCCATAGATACAAATCTGAGTTGTACCTGTGTGTTTTTCAGCTTGTGGCATGTAAACACTGCCTAGCAAGTAGGGATTTGCTCCAGACAATCTGGCTGCCTTCCTTTGTCTTTCATCCTTGCTGAAAAAGAGTGTGGGAGGTGAAGCTGTTGAAAAAACTAATACCTGAACAGTGCTAGCATCGTTTACTGCAAAGGAAGCCTGATATTTTCAAACAAGAGTGTTGTTGGCACACATAGTCCTGCTGGTTTTAAACTTTGCATCTATATTTCCTCACGTTTTGAATTCACTCATGGTAAACTTGACTCCCCCTTGTCCCCATTTTGTTTTTTATGTTTTTTTTCTCGTTGCTTTCAGAATGATAGTTTAAGAAACCAAACGTATTTCAAAGCTTGCAAACTCAGACTGTCACCAAGCAAATCGGTGACAACGAAATAGTTTTATTTTGAGGCTCAGATTGTATTACAGACTTATTAAGTAAATATTTTAATTTTAGAGTTAATAGCTGATAGTGTATGCTGACTCGAATGTTAAAAATTTATTTTTGTAAACTTAGAAGTTTTAGTTGACTGTACTTGGTTCATACCAGCATATAATGAGCTTCATCCATAGATTATCTTAACTTTTGAAGTGTTGCAGTCATTTCATTACCAGTGTTGCTATGGAGGAATGACGTAGGCCAGTTAAAAAGGAACCAATGTCTTCCTCCTTCCCTTCCTCCCTCCGTGTTCAGAACTTAGGCTAAAGCAATGACATGTTTATCTGGAATAGTATGTACAATTTGTTAAACTGATTCTAGGATCAGACTTAATCAGTCCATTTCATGCATTTCTAACAAAAGTTGGATTAAAGACGTGCATTAAGATTATTCTTCATTTTACTGTAATACTCTTTAAGCTTCCCCTTCCTTTTGCAGATTTGAAAGGCACTATCAAAGTTTTGCCATCTATAAATAGTAGTTAAAAAGTAGCTGCTTTTTTTTTGCGTTTCAAATAGTTTTACCACATACTGAAAAAATTGATTATAGAAATCTCTAGACATGACCTCCTGTGTAGAAAGAAGAGTATGAGACTATCTAAAATATTATTATATTTCTCTGTTAGTGTATTTTCTCTCTGACTGAGAGTGTTTTGTCTCAGTCAAAATATTTGTTTTCTCTCAGTATGCACTAGTGCTTTTAGAAGTTGCACCCCTGTTCAGTTCAAACGTTTGGCCTGCTTGCAAAAATTGCTAGCAGAGATTTCCGATGGTTCCAATTACGTTAATGGTTTATCTGCTAGGTATTGAGCAAAGGCCATCAAGCAGCTATCTGCTGGGTATTAACTGTGAGTGCTGCAGAGCTTTGGTGTTCCTTTATTGATTGTTAAATCCAATGCATGATAAAGTTAAGCTTCAGTTTAGGTTTGCTTTTTTTTTAGGACAGTGCAGTTTTACCCTTTGTCTTGTCATGCATTTAATTTTTATTAGTGTATTTCTGTATGTGTGTAATAAATGGTATCTGTGTAATATTATGTATCTCAATATCATTTTGTTTATAAAGTCACTTGGAAAAAGAAATTGAAAACAAAAAGACACAGTTGGCAGCATCTCAGCAACGTTTATATTCCATTGAAAATGAGATTAGGCAGAATGAAGATCAACTTTATGGTCATCGACGACTACAAAAAGAATTGCAGGTACGGTTTTTAGGAACTAGTCAGTTTTTCCCTATTTCATTTTGATTTCTGCAATATACTTTGAGTGAGTTATATTTTTAATGTTTATCCTTACTTCTGTTGTTTGCTTTCACGTTGTTTATTTTTGTAGTATGCTTTTACCATTATTTAGGAGAGAATGATGGAGGCCACATCAGTCCTAGCATATGCTCTTGTTTCTGGGCAGTATCTTTTTTTTTTTTTTAATTCTTTGGCTAAATCTCACAGATTTCTACTGCTTTTTTGACACCAACAGGAAGTTGTTACAGTATTTGCTGCAAGTTTCTTTTCCCTGCTTCCCGTCCTTTATTTCTGTTGAGCCTTGCCTCTTCATTCCCAAGATCTCGTTGCTCTTCATTTACATTCTTAAGCCATCTTCATATGCTGAATGTTTCACATTTAAGTTCTCTTAATTTTAATTTATAAACCATTTTACAACTATTAGTCTTATTTTTTTGCTTTCCAGTACTAGGTAGGATATATATTTCTGATGACCAATAATCTTAGACACTGTAAGATAATACACATTATGTAAAGTTATATTAGGTAAATTACACATAAGAACCAGCAAAAAACCTGTCATGTAGACTTAAATTGCTGAAGATAAATATCTGAGGGAAAAACAAAACATATTTTATTCAATTGTGATGTCAAATGGAAATACAAAAACTTTAAAGCCTGTGACTTTCAGAACAAGTTTTTTCTTACAAAAATGGATTCCACAAGTAAGTGGGAAGAGGTCTTTTGTCATGAATTTTTCTCTTTAGATAAGCTGAAGAATATTTTCTTTCTCTTTTCAGATAAAAATAAGAACAACAAATGCAGAAATAGCAGATCTTGAAAACATCGAAGAACACCAGTCAGTGGACATCCGTATATTAGTAAGAACAGATTATCAAATTACGTCTAATAAGGATATGAAATAATGTCTTTTAATGTCAACAGTGTTTTGAAATCGCAAATACTGTCGATTTTCAACTCATGTACAAGTTGGATAAATCGTGAAGAATGCAACTATTTAGAGAATGTCTACAATTGTGGCAATGGCATAATTTACTTTTAATGAGGTTTTGGTAGTATTTCTTTTCCTTTTTGTTGTTGTTTTTCTTGTTTTTCTTTCTTGCTCTGCTCTTTTTTCTCTAATTAGAATTATAAAATATTGCATGTAATCTTATATCCTGATAGTAATAATAAAATAAAAATCTTGTACAGTGATTTTTGCAAAGGTATGTCTCCTTTTATTATTTCTCAATATAATATGTTTTGACAGGAAGATGAAGCTGAAGAAAATAAGGGTAAAATGGAATCTGTAAAAAAAGACAAGGAGCAACAAAGCAGAAGAATGGAAGAATTGAAAAATAGTCTCCAGGTAGCTGAAAAAAAATTTGAAGAAATGAAAGAAAAAATGCAGCAAGTAGAAGAAATTGCAGGTCCAATTAAGGTAGCAATACTTTCACCTTGTATTCTCAGTTTGTTCCTTTTGTGTGGTAAGGGGAATGAGGTTAAAAGGAGGCAGGAGAAAAGACTCTGCCTTCTTCCTGATACATGTAAGGCCACCTGTGAAAATGGACCTGGGGAGAAACAAGCTTAGCAATATTTTGAAAGCGATCTTGATTGTTAAGCGCAGTTGCTATAGTGTTTTGTGTTTAAAAGGATTGTGTCCAGGTATTTTAGTCATGAACTGAAAAGGAAGGAAAAATGATTTCCTTGACTTTCTTTTCTAGTGCATCACACTTGTTGTTTTGGCTTATTTGTTTCTTTCTGATAAGACCTGGCTCGTAACTGTTCAGTTTTCAGACGAGCATTCTGAAATTCTATATAAAATAGTTTTTGTTCCATGAAGTTGCATAATTTCAGAAGGTACCACTACACAGTTTTAATTATTCAAGACTACAGTAGACACCTGGAAATGGCAGAGAAGTAGCAACACTTACGATAAATAGCAGAGTGGTGACATGCAGAATTTGATCTTGGCAAATGGAAGGCAATGTCGTGTTGTCGAGAAGAAATAATGGTTTGAAAATGAAAAACAGACATAAGAGTCCAGCATGTTTGCAGTGTTGTAAACTTTTAAAAGGATGACATGAGGAAAAAATTAAGGATCACTATAGGAATCTCTTATGTGTCTCACTTAAATTGTATATTGCTGTGTAGTCAGCTGAAATTAAAAAAGAAAGAGGAAGGAAACAGCTAAGGAAGATGACTAATAAATATGTTAGTTATTTTGTGTCTAATATGGAAATTCTAAAGATATGTTCGGTCCCCGTGTGTTGCCTGATCTAGTTGAGAGGCCTCCCTGCCCATGACAAGGAGGTTGGATTAAATGATCTCTAAGGTCCCTTCCAGCCTAGACCATTCTGTGATTCTATGATTTTAAAAGAAGAATTGCGTAAGGAAAGAAAATAGATTTATTCAGAATGTAAGAACATTGTTGTTTGTTATTAAGAGTACTGAACACCGCAGAGGCAGCTCTTAAATTGTTGTAACGTGAAAAATAAATATAGATTTTAGAGGATTAGGAGAAAGAGGGGCTTTTTTTCAAAGATGAAAACATCCTCTCAAGATATGATTCTTAAAAACATTACAGGCATTTATTATGTCCTTGTCAGAATTGAATATAGATTTTCTGATAAGTTGATGTTGAAGCTCCTGGACTTCAGAAGTAGTCTTATTTTATAGAAAAAAAAAAAGTGTGAAAAACATGATTACCTGTGATAAGTCAGTAAACATGAGAGATGCTTCGAAATCTACCCCAGACAGCTCACATCTCGATTTATTCCAAACAGGATGAATTAAACCAAGCTGACTCGGAAGTGGAGAACAGAAAACGCCGTTTGCAGCACTATGAAGCCAAACAGAAAGAACACCTGGCTTGCGTAAAAAGACTTAAAGACTTACTAGCTGCCAAAGAAAAAGAATTGGAGGTACGTGTGGGTTTATTTTAGGTATTGAAGTCGGATGGTGATGATCTGTCTAATAATAGATTGTTCCACATGGACCACGTACAGACCATATTAATGCTCAGCTACACTGAATGTTCTCTCAGCTACTTCTCAAGCTGACTGTCCAAATCGAGTCATTCTGTAGGCATGAATTAAGGCGTCTTTTTGTCTGGCAGAGCACCGTTTCTGTCTTGACAGATAAGTTAGGGGTTATCCGTCTAAGACTATTTGTTCTGTATTTTGCACTTAAAAGATTGAAATTACCTAACCTTAAAATTTGTGGCTTAGGTTAAATTGAATAATACCATTTTGTTTTTCTGGCTGCGAATTTTTTCCTTGTACAGACCTCGTACCTGATCATTTGAAGACTTACCTAATCAAACTTTGTTCACTAACTCTGAAAACACTTTCACAAAGACTTTTGGAAGACTGTTCTAGTTAAATATGGTGAATTTGTTTCCCTATTTATATGTTTTATTTAAAAAACTGTGACCATATTAAAAATCTGGGATGGATACAGTTGTTACACTGAAATAACTACTTATAGATGTTGTTGGTACAATTGTTAACAATAAATAGAATGATACAAAACCATTGTTCTTGCTTGTTTTTCCATAGCATGAAATACTTGTTGTGAAGACTAAACAGATTTTTAAAAAATGTAATACTTAATTGAGTTGCAAATGTTACTTTAGGAAAAAACGGCACAAGCTCGGCAAATCCACCCGGAGCGCATAGAGGTCAGCAGAACTGTGAAGAGTCTTGATGCAGAAATGAATCGCTTGAGAGAGAGGATAAATTCAGAAAACGATCGCCATGGAAACAGAGAAGAAATAATACAGTACGTCGTCTTTAACGTCTGAAGTAGTTCAGTAAGATGGAAAAGATAGGGGAAAGAGGAGTTTTCTTACTGACTTAAAATGCATTTCTGTGTTTTTAGTACTTAAAAGCATGTGCGATGGTGTGGAAACTTGCTGCACTGATTGCTCGGTCAACCAGTACTTCAACAAGTTTAGGAGTGTCCAAGTACCCTCCGGTGATTTTGGACAGTGTCTGTCCCGTATATGCAAAGTTACCAAGAATCAGATACACTCTAAAATGTTTACAAGTGTCCCAGTTATGACTCCCTGGTGCAAGCATAATGCACCTTGCTCTGTGATGCAATAGTTTGAATAACTAATGCAAAAGTTGGGCAATAACTTGCAGTTTTAACTGCAGCGTATTTCAAGGCATCACTCACCTCAGATGTTCTTGAGCATGGGGAGCTCAGTCATCCGTTCTCCTTGGTGTAAGAGTTTCCTTTCAAAAATTAAAAATAGAAATTAATTTTTGAACTGCTCTTCATTGGAGAACTTTTCATTTGGGTCGCTTATGTGACTCATCAAATGCTGCTGGCTTTAACATAGATCCTCACAAGAACCTTTTTATTTCCATGTTTTGATTATCAAGTTGATTTTCAGCATTTATGACAACAGCTTGGTTTTTTTTTAAATTATTGTTGATCCTGGACTTTCTGTTAATTAAAACAGGCAATTTCATGATGCAAAGGAAAGATATGAGGATGCAAACAGTAAGGTAAAGCATTTAAAGAAATTTATTAGGCTGCTGGAAGAAATAATGACACAGAGATTCAAAATATACTGGCAATTTTTAAGGTGAGTTAATTTTACTGTAGTTTCAGGCTTCAGATAAACTAAAATGTAGATGTAAGCAGGTGCCTATATTCCAGGGTGACAGCTGTAGAGCAGACCTGGGAGAATGGCACTATACAGAGCAATCTTTCTAACCTAGTCTTGCTATCGTGCCTGACAGTTCAGAGGAGCCCGGCCTGATGGCTGGAAAAAGGGTGATCATTAGAGGCTGTATTTTGCTTCACACCAAAGGCCTCAGCTGTGCTACCAGTCCAGGACAGCTCTTTTTCAGCGCTGGTTTTGGTCAGTAAAATATTAGCAACATACTACAATTGAAATCATCTGGACTGTCATTTGTTTTCGAGTTAGTGGTGCTGTGTTCCTCTAGTTTTGCTGTGGGCCAAAGACTTTTGCTCTGTCCTGTGCTGAAAAAAAAAGAAGTCAAGGTCTTTATTTGGATTCCGCAGTTTGACAGTGTGTTCTCTCACGGAGTGTCTGCACCGGGAAGGCACCGCTGCTTTACTCCTTCAGTCCCTGCGTATCCAGTACCCATCAGTGCAGATTTTGTGGTGGCCTCCCTTCCAAAGGGCTGATGGTCTGTTTTCCAGTGCAGGACTTTATCGTTTAGCATTCCCTTCAGCAAAACTTAAGGGATATCTGGGCTGGCTCTGCTTTTTGGACTTTTTGATCTGGGATTTGGAGGGGTTGCCTGTATGATCCTGACAAGTCGTGATGATCAGGAGAATCCCAACCTTTCCAGGTGGAAGTATAGAAACAGAAGTAGGTAAGATTTACTTGCAGAATCTGATGCTTGCCTTATGGTGCCCAGATCTGTGAAACTGAATCTTGTTCCTAATACCTAAATTTGAGTATGAATCCCACCTCAAGGTGCATTAAAGAAGCATAGTTCTTTTTTGAAGGAACTGTGGTGTAGTGTCTATTGAGGAATTATAAACCAGGGTTATGAGGGAAAGGGTGGAGGGAGAAATTAATACTTAGTGCTGTTTAGTTCCCAGAGTTTAGCAGAATCCACACAAATTCTTTACTGTCCTTACTGTGCAGTCCTAATACTGGATAGGAAAGGAGAGTAATGTGTTTGTTTTCTGTTGGAAGTTGCGGAAGAATCCTGTAAGAAGTTTACAGTCTGTGAAACAGACTTCAAGAAAATACAAGCGTGTACAACTGGGTTTCTTACCTCGTTCCTTTGTGCCAGTGATTCTTTCCAATATTTCCAGTATGGAATCTCACCCACTCAAGAGTATAATTGATTTGGGAAAATGTTATTAATGAACAGGGCTTAATATTTGAGATTGTGATGCAAAACTGTTAAAAATCTGACATTTTTTAATGTATTTTAAAACTTACTGACCTAATGTTTGTTTGATTTAACTGATTTAAGGCTCCTTTCTTTACGATGCAAACTCTCCTTTGACAATTTATTACGTACTCAAGCTTACTCTGGAAAAATACTTTTTGATCACAAGAATGAGACACTTTCAATAACAGTAAGTTATTTTATATTACTTATATTACTTACTGTGTAATTAATTATTATTTTTTTTAATATCAGCTGCTAGGACATGCACTGCAAAGGGTAGAATAAATTGTTCTTCCCTTTCCAAAATGCAATATGCTAAATTGCAGGATGTTGTTGAAAGCAAGCAAGTACAAAAACCATATTGCCATCTTACATGGGCAGATTGCTAGATTATGTGGAATAAATTTGGACTGTAGTCCTCTGCTGAGGGTAAGAATCCACTAGCGAGTCATCCTAGTCAGTCTTTCAAAACTACTCGTTCCCATTGCATTGTTAGGAAGTTTGCCTTTTATTTGTGTGATTGTAGAATGGCTCTAGTTGTTGTTTAAACAACTTCACCACCTGAAAGCTTCAATATTATGTTTTTCCCTGTGTATCTTTTAACATACATCCCAAAACAATTTAGTCATGGAGATACTGACTTTTGTTTCTGTGGAATTTAGGGGAAAAATGTGTAGTGACAACATAAATACCTGTTGACACAGTCCTAATTAAAGAGATGAAGGATGATGTGTACCTGAGGAACTCCAACTCGGATCATAAAATGTCAAGTCATTACCTGGCTTTATCAGAAATTTTGTTTTTATTTATATAGCTGATGTTTCATGTTTCTCATGCAAGCGATCTATGTATAGTCAAGGAAGGCAAATTGAAAAAAACCACCCTACTACTCCCCTCCTTCAACAAAAAAAACCCTCACAAAACAACAAACAAAGGATTCCACTGCAAAAAGAAAAAAAGAATTATTTTCATTTTTAGCTTGTTAAAGGTGATGTAACCAACAGGAAAGGAAAATGCCATTTGATCTTAAAGAGGGAGCACCACAAGGTGTCATCATAATTAAGGGAACCAAAGAACTGTTCACTGTGTTTCATGTATTCTGGTAAAAAAAAATAATTCTCCCTTAAGTTGCAGTGATCCTAAAAATATGTTATTAAGTGGTTTGGAACCATCCTGTTCCAGACTGGCAGTGAAGTGCATGAAATTCTTCTGAAGTGATCCCTGGCTGTTCACGTGTAACGTGTTTGCTGTCAAAATTATAGTTCTGTTACTGAGTCTCCATCTCAGGTTTTAAAATTACTCTAATATTTTTATTTCGAGGTTCAGCCTCGAGAGGAGGACAGAGCTGCCCTTAATGACGTGAGATCCTTATCGGGAGGCGAACGTTCCTTCTCAACAGTTTGTTTCGTTCTTTCTCTGTGGTCCATTACGGAATCTCCTTTCAGATGCTTGGATGAATTTGATGTCTACATGGTATAGTTTAAACTTAAACTACATTTGTCGTTCTGATTTGTGCAAATTAGTGAAATAGTTCGGTTGCTACTGGTATTTGGTTAGATTTTAAAGCACTGTAGTTAATGGTAAATAATAAATAAAAACCTCCAAACCCAAAAATCAAATCCTCCAAAACACAACTTGTTAGGATCGTGTTCACTTTGCTTAGTGACTTTGGAGGCTTACTCTGTTTCGGAAGCTGGCAGCTGTAACTGTGAGCATCTCTGTTACTGTACGTGCTTAAACCTTAGCTCAGCACAAAAAGCATAAAATACAACTTTTTTTTTATTAGTTCCCCAAGAAGTTGTTTTGTTTTTCACAGGTCACCTCTGTGGACTGCTGTGGCAGTTCTGGGCTTAGCATGTGGTTCAGTCTCTACTGATTTTCATATTGTTTTGGATTTTTTTCCAGAGCAAGTGTAGCAATTGAGTTCACAGTTGCTACTCTGAAATTTTTTTCATGCTTTATGTAGTAGCATCTTTCCAAGACGTGGAACTGCACAAAATTGAACAGTAAATACTGGTGTCAGATGAAACTGATAAACCTCATCTTTGTGTACAGCTTCCCTGAATAGGCAATTAACCATTTGTTTTTAATATATACTATTTCCTCCTTATTAATACATGCAGTGTAGTATATAGTATAGTTTGAGGAAATAATTAGTTTTGTGAGACACAGAGCTGATACTGGATTATTTAATTTTGCCTTCGGTGTCCCTCCCTCACCAGGGATTTATTTGCTGAGAATCGCAGATCTAGAAGGGAAATAAAAACAATATACTTCATATACAAAGAATTTCCAAAAGGATCCATCCAAGGGGGTCAAGGAGTCATTTTCTGGCAGACTTGCAGAGCTTAGGTCCTCTTTTACAAGTCATTTGTGCAGAGGTTCATCCATCCATCTGGAAAAGTACATGGCTACTGAGAATAACAGAATGTAAGGGGTTGGAAGGGACCTCCAAAGATCACCTAGTCCAACCCCTCTGCCAGAGCAGGATCCCCTACAGACCCATAGACCCTGCATAGAAATTCCGCATTTTCTATTCCATAAATAATTCCACAGGGTTTCTTCTTCACTCTCTGCCTGCAAGCACAACCTTATCTTGTCTGCACGTTCTGTGGTTGCTTTTGGTGTAATCCTGGAGACCCACCACAAGAGGACCCCATCTGCATATTTGCAAAGGGGTTCCCAAACTTTCATATATAGCAAGATACAGAAGCAGAGCTTTTAACCCTGGCTTCTTTTGATACACTTTTTTTTTACTAATCCTAATACATAAAGCTGTGTTCAAAATATCATAATAACAACCACCACCGCCAATAATAATACAAACAAGCTACATGATATCTTAGGTTTTATGCAGCCCTGAAATCCTTCCAGGTAATTTTGAGGCAGGGTTTTGTAGGAGATATTATCCTACTAAAATAACATCTCATCGCAGCGTACCTATGAAGTAAGAAGTATGACGTGTATGTCAAAACTGATAGAAAAACATTGTGAGTAGGAGTGTGTGAATTTTTTTTAGTAGCTTTCTATTGTTGACATATACTAAAAAAATAGAGTTTAAGAATTTTCCAGACCATCGTTTGTACTTTTAGAATTTAATCCTTATGTTTCTATCATTAGACTTTTCCTTAGCTGGGCTTTATTGCATATGAATTAATTCTGGTAGTTTTTCTATTAAGATATTTTCTAATTAATTAATTCCTAAGCATTTGTCCTAATTTGTGAAGTACTAGGCCGGAAAAGTCCCTGGTCAGTATCACTCCGTGCTGAATCTTTTGTCTTTAGGACAGGGTTAACAGAAGAATTGCAATGGATATGATTCTTAAGGAGGCTGACTCTCAGCATCATCGACAGTTCATTTTGCTCACCCCACAAAGCACGAGGTAATACTTTTTTGCATTATATTTCTTGGTACATTTGGTACATTGGTACCATTTCTTGATATAAGAATTGTAAGGAAGTTCTCTCGCAAGCAGTAAAACTTGAAAAAAGTCAATACGAGAAGAAAGATTTTGCTGTTTGTAGCAGTAGAGTATCAGCAATTAAGCAGTTCATTGCTCATTGTTCTGGGAATTTAATAGATTCTCTTTTTTCACTCTTTCTTGCAGAATGTTTCTTAATGTGAGAGTTCAGTGGGACTTGAATTGTTTTATCTTAAGCAGAGCAGCATTTTGAAATGTTCTATTGTGGAAAGTAGGCCCTGCCCTCCCAAAATTAACAGAAGCCTTTGCATTTTCCCTTTTTTCCTGTTACTGCTACAGCACTTTCAAGATTTTTTTTTTTTTTTAAATATCATTGATATGGAAACTGATAACTTACTCCTTTGTTTTCTTTTTTTAATCTAATAGCCTCAAATTTTTTTAAAACCTTTCTGTAAGTCCCTGGTAAAGCCATACCCAGCTTTCGGGGACAGTCGCCATCTGCCCTGTTGCAGCAAACTTTTCTCTATTAGCCAGAAGTAATCACTGAAGCTTCTGGAGATTAATTAAGCAGTTTTCAAAATGCAGTTGATTAACTCCTAATTGTCTTCTCTTACTAAATCTATAGCAAGTAAAATAATGGCATTCTGTTGTTATTTAAGTGGAAGTGCTTTGTGGGGAATTTCTGACACTGTATGCAGTAAACATAGAGGAATTTCTTGTGTGGTTACTTTTAAAAAGTTTAATAATTCAAGTGCAGCTTGCTTTTGTTAGATTGTTACATGTGGCATGTTCAGCAAACCTTTAATTTCACAAAAGCACTGAGGCACCTTCAGCAAAAGAATACATTTAGGAAAATCAGTGGAGAAATCTGTATAAATGCATTTTTAGTGACTTTGCTTGTTCTCAGTACGATGTGAGTGAAGATACATGTACAACGGGTGTGCTGCTTCAGGATCCATAAAGCAAATGTGAACCGTGTTCGATCTTTATTTCATTTGGAGTCTCTTTTAAAAAAGCACCTTCTCTATACTTAAGATAGGCTGTTAGAAATCACAGCTTTGAAATCAGTCTTTACCTCATGCTTCTACTGAAGTCTGGCTCCGGTATCATCAGTTCAGTGAAACCAGAACTTCACCCCACGTCACTGGTTTTTAAAACTGTCAAAGAGTTACAGGAGAATATGTAACGGAAAGAATCAAATGAAAATACTGAAATTCCTGGTGAAGAAACACTGTCTAAATGATGTGTGCTTTATTTTTAGTTCTCTGCCTATGAGTTCCCGTATTCGAATCCTCCGAATGCAAGACCCTGAAAGAGGCCAAAGAACATTGAATTTCCAAAATAGGAATGACAAAGAGGAAGATCAATAAGTATCTCTGTGTATGAATCCGACATACTATTGAGGATAAATTGTGTAATGATATGTGTAAAGTTATTCCTAATGATAGGTGTAAAGTTATTCCTTCCTGATGCTGGAGAACAGGCTCTTTGTTAGGTACTCTCAGGAAAAGAAGAGGCTCCTGTATTTATTTTTTTATTGTTTTTTTAAGAGTTCCTGTATGTTTACAGACCAAGAATAAACACAGTTTTGATGATGAGAAAATCCTGAATGTTCAGTTGATATTTTTAACTACCAACTAGTAGATTTTTAATCAGTTCTGGTTTTTGTTGTTTTTTTTTTTCTTCTGGAAAAGACGAAATATATTTTGTATATGTGGAATAAAATTCTAATAAAGTGAGAACTGGTTCTTGTGGTAATGTTTTAGTGTCTCTGTACACTTAGCATTAAATTTCAGAAGTTTATATTTTCCTAGCTCTGCTTTATTTCTTAAGCGTGTGTTAATACATGCAGTAAAATGTGTTTCATTTTTTTTTTTCAGCTGAACATGAGAACCCACTAGTATTTATAATGTGTACTTTCATAGTTGGAGAAGTGAAAAATTTGTTTGCAGTGTATTCTCTGGGCAGGAAAATAGCACTTTTATTTCTTCCTAAAGAGTTCATAAGAAAGAGTTTGAGTTTCTTTGGACACAAGCTTGCAAAATGGAGCAAATTGGAGTGTTACAAACTTGAAATTCTTAATTCCAGTAAACTAAATTCTTGCACAGTCTGAGTTTGCAGGTATACACTAAGTCTGTAGATATTAATTATAACACTAAAGTGATCAAAGTCCTTTCAATATAGAGGGAATGAAGTGGAATAAACATTTTTGGAAAATAGTACAGTAACTTTTCTAGAGCATTGTAGACCTGCGTTTTGTTGGGTGCTCCCTCCTCCCACCCCACCCTGCCCTGAGACTATATTAGAGCAGTTAAACTTGTTTCATATAACTGATAGAACCATTTATTGGGCATAAGAGGGAGAAAGAAGGACCAGATTTTTCAAACTGCTCCAAATTAACTTCTTTTTCTCTTCCGTTCTCCTTTCTCTAGGAGCTTGAAATTAGTGGGAGCTCTTTTAGAGTTCAGCCATTAGACATACTTCTTGTTTGGGTTTTTGGTGTTTTTTTGTTTTGTTTGTTTGTTTCTACATTATGGGGATACAAAAGCCATTGAGACTATCTGCAGTTTCTACAGTTAGTTACCGAATAGCAATTCTTCAATAAAACCTGATTTCAATAGCTGATTTTTTTTGTAGCCGCTGTGCAGTATTTTGTGTTCTTTAATGTTCAGTTTTTATGCAAACGTGTATTAAACTTCTAAGTATCTGTAAGATATGGTAGTTAGGTAAGAATTGAAGCAAAAGAAAGCCAGCTGCAGTTGTAGCAGATTCTAACTGCAGGAATTTAGTCTAGTGATCTTTTCAAAGGCTTCAGGTGTTTATTTCTGAAAGCCCAGGGCAGTAATGGGCCAACAGATTCACAGCAGCCAGGACGCTACTGACAAAACAGGGCCAGGATTTTTGTTGAAGCCTGTGGCAGAAACTTACCTTCATCAGTACTTTTATAATGAGTTGTTTGGAGAAAAGAGCTTAAGGAAAATTACCACATTACTACTGAGCTAACACTTCAGCTTTCTCCCAAGTTTTCTATAGACTTACTTGATACATTGGAGCTGTTCGGAACAAATCTGGTCTTTGGTTTAAATCATTGTATTGTATTTACTCTAATTTACCATTGTACTCGTTGAAAATATGTGCCTGACTGTAATTATTATAAGAACTGTTTTCATGATAGAGGACTAGTTCTGAATAAACAAATACCGAAGCACTTGTTTGGATGCACTTATTTTTGCAGTGATCCTCCTGAGATCTCAGAGCTGTCTTACTCCTGGTAGTTTAAATTTTAAATTCCTGGGCTGCGCCAAAAGAAGTGCGGCCAGCAGATTCAGAGAGGTGGTTCTGCCCCTCTGCTCTGCTCTGGTGAGAGCTCACCTGGAGCACTGCGTCCAGCTCCGGAGCCCCAACACAGGAAGGACAAGGACAGGAGCAGGTCCAGAGGAGGCCACAAAAATGGTCAGAGGGCTGGAGCACCTCTCCTGTGAGGACAAGCTGAGAGTTGGGGTTTTTCAGCCCAGAGAAGAGAAGGCTCTGGGGAGACCTTATAGAAGCCTTCCAGTACCTGAAGGGGACCTACAGGAAAGCTGGTGAGGGGCTGTTCACAGGGCTGTGTAGCCACAGGATGAGGGGCAATAGTTTTAAACTATTTTAAACAATAGTTTTAAATCTACTAGGGTAGATTTAGATTAGGTATCAGGAAGAGATTCTTTACTATAAGGGTGGTGAAATACTGGAACAGGCTGCCGAGATTGGTGGTGGAGGCTCCATCTCTAGACATTCAAGGTCAGGCTTGACAGGGTTCTGAGCAACCTGATCTAGTTAAAAGATGTCCCTGCTTATGGCACGAGGGTTGGTCTAGATGGCCTTTAAGGTCTCTTCCAGCCCAACACATTCTGTGATTATTCTGTGACACACCGGCAGGTAGAGCTGCGGTGCTGCCTTTAGGTTTTGTGATCGTGTCGGAGTCCTTTGCCACGTTGGCTGGCAGTGCAGTGCTTAATGCTGCATTAAAATAAACGGAGCCTGTCCAGCTTCGTAAATTCAAGGTGCAAGGAAATGCAGAATGAGGTACCGCTTCTCTAATACATGTGTGTACACCAATGAGGCATAAATTTCCAAGGGTGTTCAACAGCCTCTCTACAAGTAATTTAAGCCAAAGTGGAAGCAACGGGCGCATCATTCTTGGGAATATGCAATGTTTTCAGAATGTGTGTTTTCAAGTTACAGCCAAATGTACAAAGTATACCTCTCTCTAATTTGCTACCTGTGTAGTCTAAGTCAAATTCTGGTATTAAAAAATGTAGTTGAAGTTTCTGCCTTTTGCTGTTTGCTGGGAATATGAAGAGACTTAAATAGGAGAGGATGGCTGTGGTTGTGGCAACAATGGATGCTGTGTTCCCCCATCGTGTTTGTTAGCAAAATGTCTGAAACTGTGCCTGTGTTTTGTTTTTTTCCCCCCTCAATTTGAAGATGAGCTTCACTTGTTAAATTTGAAGATACAGAGAATTTTTTGATTTGTGTCATGTTTTATTGTTTGATTTTTAGCTATAAAGAGTACTGTCTCATTTCTTCATAATGTAAAGAAGAAATGCCAAACGTGCAATTGTAAGATGGTTAGACTTCTTTGTTGTTTTGTAACTTGCAAGCAACCAACCGTTTAAAAGAACTGGGAAATGTGGTGTATTTTTTTTAGATCTGAATCTGCAGTTTTGATGCTTTCCCAGGTCTGTGCAGGACTTGTACTTGCCACAGGCTAGAGATAAACTTGCGTGATGCACAGGGAACTGAGGAGGAGGGTGGGTTCTCCTCACTATCCCTTCTCAATCATCACACTTTATGGTGAATTTATCAGTAGTAATTTTTAACAAATGGCTGCTTATATTAAACCTGTGGTAGTTTAGTGGCACGGTAAAGGTAAAGACTCTTACTTAAGGAGGGAAAAACATTAGAAGACCAGGTTTAGGCCAAGCAAATAAACTGTATTTAACTTCCAGCTAACTTAAAAAGCTACATAACACAGGTCTAGTAGGTTTAATATGAAATCTTAGCATCGGCATCTTAGAGGATAAACAGCTGCTCTGTTGGTAAATACAAGAACTACAACTTCTGGTTTCATATCATAGGACTCTTGGAGTGAGTGAGTGCAAAGATGTTTTCTTCATGCTTTCATAATGAAATATATATTTCCCAGTAGTACAATGACAAATAATTCAAGAGACTGCACTTTGTTTTTTTCCATTACCGTGCTGAAGACATGAAATAAGAATTAGGGGAAAAGGTCAAATGTTATAAATTTATTTTGGGACATATATATTGCAACCTCTGTGGAAGCTTTGAAAATTCAGGCAAAGATCAATACACTTCCAATAAAACCTTTAAACTTCCAATAAAACAATATTTTAAACATTATATATATATATTTATATATATTTTAATTA